CTGAGTTTCTAAGTCTGGATTTTTTTAAAAAAAAATTGTATTTAAAGGTTTACTGTTTAGTTTAGTTTTAATTTTTAAAATTTTTTTAAATTTTGATCTTTTAATCATGGAAAACATAATCTAAACCATTAATGTTGTTTAAAATCGGGACTGTCCACATATTTAAATTAGTGGTGTTATATTACCTGACTAATGGTTAAATTATGATTATTAAAATTATAAAAATAAATTACATCTGCTGAATCTGAAAATCTCCAACCCACAAGTTATGAAACTGTAATTTATCTGAAAAATAAATAAAAAAGGAAAGGGAAATGAGTATTACATGAAAGAAAATTAATCAAAAAATTGAGAACTAGGTTACAGGGGAAATACAAAGGAATATACAAAAGAGAAGCTTCTACAACCAGTGGTATTATCGTCAGAATAGATTCCTTCTGTAACAAATAGCTCAGTTTAAGTGTTACATGTTTGCTTTTTGTTGGTTCTTCAGTTTCTTTCCTCTCAGCTTTTGGAGTTTCCTGCACCTTTTACCTTCGTGAGGCTTAATTGTTCTGCAAAGTCTCTCTTTTTTGTCTGTTGATCTCAATTATTTTTCTTTTTGACAATTAGCTTATGGAAGACATTATTTTACCTATTGCTTAATATCAGCTATCCACCTTATTTAAATGGAATTTATGTTCTTTCTAATGAACACTAACATCCTTTAAGCTTATGATATCTAGTTTGATTTGTCAGGTCATGCACCAGAGGGACAGTTCTATGACGTTCCTATATGAGTATAAATAAATAATAGCTTTGCGTGGATTGGTTCTTTCATTCCTCTCATCTAATTTCATATTTTGTGGCAGGAAAATGTTGGTTCCTTTACCTGCTCCACTTGGCCTGGTGTATTTGGGAAAATTGTATTTATTGTTGACTTCATTTTCCTTTGTTTCAATGGGAAATGGAGTCAACTTGACAGATGGTCTTGATGGGCTGGCTGGAGGGACTGTCGCATTGGCTTTTCTTGGAATGTCAATTGCAGTACTCCCTATTTGTTCAGGTTAGTTTTACTCTTGATAGGGCTTTTCATCTCTAACCTAAAACATAGATAGCATTGATCCTTGCTTTGGTTTGAATTTGTATTGGCTATGAGCTATACCGAATGAGGGATTTATTTAAAAAAAAAATAGCATTGATCCTTGCTTTGTTTCAATTTGTATTGGCTATGAACTATACTGAATGAGGGATTTATTTAAAAAAAAAATTAGTGTTGATCCTTGCTTTGTTTCAATTTGTATTAGTTATGAGCTATATTGAATGAGGGATTTATTTTTAAAAAAATAGCATTGATCCTTTCTTTGTTTCAATTTGTATTGG